TTCGCATGACCTGTAAATTAAAATTATTGAAATTCATTTAAAAACCGAAGAATTTTATTTTATTATACCGTTATATATAATTATTTATAATTAGTTAGACAATGTAAAAGAGTGGACAATGTTTTAAGACAAATAATATTATAAATTTAAACTAATATCTTATGTTTATTTGAATAATTATATATATTTTGAATCAGAATACACACAATATTGAAAAAATAAAAATAATTATTACTGAATTTAACATTTTTTATTTTTAATTGTGTTGCATGATCACGTTTATGAATATGTTTTAAAATTCTTAACTGTAAGCCTCAAACAAACAAATGCTTTTATGTTGTTAGTATCAACTTAAAAGAAATCGTTAATTTCAGAATATTAACACCCGTTTTTGTAAAATGTTTCTGCACTAGAAGTCAATTTTAAAAAAAACCTATATTTTTACTATAAGTATTTGAAAGCAAAATATTTTTTTATAAAAAAACAAGATATTTTCATAACATAAAATAAAATGTATAGTAAAGTCGATCCGAACAAGTGTGCAACTTTATTTTTTCTTTGTTTTTTACTCACAACAAAGGTGGAACTTTATTTTTCAACAATAACAAAAACAACAACAAAAAGTGGAATTAGGTTATAAATCAACATAAAATATAACTTGATATTTAAATGATAAGTTCAACTGCTTGTTCTAATAAAAAACATTGAAATTCCATAATTCCAATTGTGATACAGAACGAATAAAACAGCGTTGTATATTGATTGTGGATGAAGCAAATGTTAAACATCTCGTTTATAAAAAATAAAATGAGACAAGCTAATTCGTGTGATTCAAAGATTTTTTCGCTGTAAAATTACAATAAACACGAGAATGTTGAATGGTGCAACCCAAAAAATTAATTGAGAGAAATTGTGCAACTTTAGTTATAATTTAGTTATAGTATTTTAATTAGAGTAATAGTTTAAAATAAATTTGTTTGTCTTTTCTTGTTTTATTTCTAAAAAACATATAATTTTTTATAATTAAAAAGTGGATGAAAATTCAAATCCTATAATTTTTATTATTTTTTCTAGTTCCTCCTTCCTAAGGTTAAGCAAAGAAAAAAAACAAGAATAATAAGTCTAATAAATTATGTCATCACAGTACAGAGTTTTGAAAAACAGTTTAGTTTTTTTTTTAAAAAAAACAATATACATTTTAATATATCACATCATCGATAACAGTATATTTAACATACATTTTTAACAATCTTAATTCAATAACGTTCCAATTATTGTAAACAAATACAGTTATTTTTCCAACATTTAACTATCGTGTAAAAAGTCGGTTGGTTCTGCCAAATTATGTGTTTTGCTCCAGATCAAATCTTCTATTTGTAAAACGTTACAAATTGTTCGAAAAAATTAACAAATTTGCTGACAGTTGTTATTGATTCAAGTGATTTGAAAATCAAATTTATTTTGTGACAATAACACCAATTTTTATCATATTATAATTGTTTTGGAACCATGTTGATATATTCACAAAATAATGTCGCGGCACCACTGTTTTTGCCATTCACGTTGGCACTACCATCTGTGGTTATTGAAATAATTTTGCTTTGGCTAATTTTGTATTTATCTATTATAACTTTTAATTTATTAAATATTCCTTTTCCTTTTGATTTTGCTTCTAGCTTTGACATTATTAATATAAAATTATGTATTATATTATCTTGGTTAATTGTACGACAACAAAAAATGTATTGAGAATGTTGGTGTATCTATGACCTATCAGTCTGGATTGAAACATATTGAGATTCTTGTATTGTGTATAACTTTTTCTCTTTTTTTCAAATACAGTTTCTAAAAATTGCATCATTGATGTTCTTGGAAGACTTTGTTTATTTATTGTGTTAATTCCAAATTCTTCGGCAACTTGAATAATTATATGTATTATATTTTTAATTACATCTGTTTTACATTATAAATCCTTTTCAGAAATTATTTGATCGATAGTCATGTTTTTTGTTTGTCTTATTTATTGTGTAATATTCATTTTCTGATTGGTTAAAAAACACAAGTATCAATTTCTTTACCTTCACAATTGTTTGATATATGTTTTACATTAAAATACGTTTTTATCAAACATTCTTTAAGTTCTATATTTTCAAATATTGTTTTGTGATGTAAAGTATGAAATTTAAACCATAACAGCTTATAATTTTACCACAAATAATACAATAAAACGTTTGAGTATTTATTTTATCTGCCAACTTTTCTTGTATCCAATCGACTTCAACAAACATTTGTTATATTTCGTTTTGAGATTTTATCTTTATATAATAATATAATAAAGAATCCAAAATGAATTCTTTTATATTTAAAAAACTTTAAAATGTGTCTTTTAAATTATTTATCATTTTATTTGTTTTTTATATTTTTGGAAAAGAATAATTGTGTTTTGTCTGATATAATTTATTATTAAAAAAATTAATGTTATTTACCATTTTTAAGTTTTTTCAATAACATTATCGTTTGGCCGACACTGCTTAAAATAGTGGGTGTTTATAAATGATTTGTCATCTTTTTTAAACACTGTAAATAATTATACAAAATTATAAAAAGGTATAAAAATTTTAATGATATTGATGCCACAATTACTTAACAGTGATGATCTTAAACAACTATTTTAAAATAATAATATAATAATAATTTTGTTAAGTATAATCTACAACATATTTATTATATAAATATTAACATATCGGTAATCTTAAAAGTTGTTTACACCAATTTTAATAATTGATTTTATAAATATTATTATAATCATTATTATTAAATAAAAACTGTAATTAATAATACATTACTTACATTTCTGTATCTGTTCTTTAAATTGACTCAATTTACCTTACTCTAAAACTAATCGTGTTAATGTCAAAAAACTTTTGATATAATAAACAGTTTCTCCTAATTTTTTGGTGTGTTATTTATTTAAAACTAAATTTCCTTTCATTATTTTACAAATAAATATTAAAAAATAAAAAATTAAGTCACATTTAAAAAATATGATAAATATTTGATTATAATAATATATTTAAATTCTTACCATTCATAGGTGTAAACATATTATAACCTGCAAGACAATATATTCTTCATGTTGTTGTACAATTATAATTTTGTTTTACTACCATGATGTTATAACTTAATTGTTTGTTTTCACTTAACATCATTTATTCTATAATTAATTTATTAATTAATAAATGGTTCATTGTTTTATATAAATCAAGTTTTAAAAACAATTAAAAGAGTGAAGTTTAAATAACATGAAACAATAAAATCCACTTAATTAATGTATAAAAAAGGAAATAAAGAAAACCAGAATTGTTGTTTTTGGATTTGGCGATGTCGGAAAGTCGTCTATCATCATTCGGTTGGTGTCCGATTTTTTTTGTTCGAGACTACGATCCATCCATAGAAGAAAGCTATTTTGTCACCATGAAAGTTGATGGCAAATCCTATGTTTTAGATATATTAGACACAGCCGGCTCGGAAGAATATTCCGCACTTCGTGACGTTTACACACGTAACTCTTATGGGTTTTTAGTCGTATACTCGATCACAGATAGGGTTTTATTTGACGAACTTGATCATTTCAGAAAGAAAATATACACAACACAACACAACAGAAAGCATATAATGAACACATTCCAATCGTTTGGTGTGGTAATAAAAGTGATTTAGAGAGTGTAAGAACTGTGTCTATTGAAGAAGGTGAAAAACTTGCTGAAGAGTGGAGAGTTTCTTTTTATGAAACATCTGCAAAAAATCGAATTAATATCAATAAAATTTTTATCGAAGTGGTAAGTGATATTGTACGAACTAAATACAAACAAAAACAAGTTGATGACAAATATAACAAAACATGTGTTATTGTTTAGTTAAGTAAAATTATGTTTAAAATATTTAATATTATTTTTAATTTGTTTGTGTTTATAAACATAATGATTTGCTTTGTTGTAAATGATATAATAAATTGAAATTATCTCTTGTATTTTTTTATAAATGTGTATAAAGAAAAAATTAAAGTTCAGATAAGTATAAAGTTTTCATTCACTATTTAAATACTAATTAAATGAAAATAAACAAGTTTTCATGTATTTATTTTAAAATGGTCAAATACAACTTTATATATTTCACTTTTACGATGGTATCGAAATTGTTAATTATTAGTTGTTATTTTTGGTAAACCTTTGTACCATATCTGTATGTGGTATAGTCAATCTTTTATATTATTTTCCAAAATGTGTAACTAATAAAAATGTTAAAATAATTTCCCAACACACAAGAAATAAAAAATACAATAATATTAT